AAGATCAGTCTATAAGATGTATGCATTTCGATTTGTTGAAGCTGGCCTTCGTCGAGCACTTTGGTATTTTGGCCGATCAGTACCAGCTAAAAAGGCCTTATTTGTGGTACTAAATATTCAATCATTTTTTTTCTTGAACATCTAAATAATTTACATTCCGATTGTTCCTTTTCCCTTCCCTTTCTTCCCTCTCTCTCTTTCTCTCTTTCGCTCTCTATCTTCATGCATTTTTAATTATTGTCATAAATTAATAGAAAATAAATTAACTTATTAAAAAAATTTGTTACAAACATCATTTAAATAATTTGCGTATTTTTTTCTCTCTGTCTTCATTCATTTTTAATTTTTTTTTATAAAAAACTTCATTTAATTAATTGTACTTTTTTTTCCTCTCTGTTTTCATTTATTTTTAATTTCAAAAATTTGTTATAAACTTCATTTAAATAATTTGCATCGCATTCCTCATCTTTTTTTTTCTCTATCTCTCTCTCTCTCTCTCTCTCTTTGTCTTTGTCTTTATTTGTTTTTAATTTTTATCATTTATTTTAATCATTATTGTGCATTAATTAGTAACATAAATTAATAAATTTATTTACTTAAGGAAAAAAAAAATGATTATAAATTTAGTGTCTTCCGATAGTATTTGTATTGCTATCACTAATTGGACCAATTGTACATCGTGAACGGATGAATCTTTCATTACCGTTTGATACATTCGTTTCCTGTTTTAATGACCGGTATCCAGCAACCGGACATAGCAATCTTCGTTTAACAACACGTGGTATTCTAGCATTTAATGGTTCTAATCCAGCATATAACGCCATCAGACGTAATTCACCAGCTGAATTTACCGTAATTATGCGATCAAAGTGAGAATTTAATAATATTTAATTGATAATGATTGATAAATTTTGCTTTTCCAATTTTAAAAATTATCATGAAATCTTTACCAGAATTATATCAATTCTTCATTAAAAAAGAAAATAGTAATTTCTGATTTTATAACAATAAATTACATTTTCATTCTAGAGGTTATGGTTCCATTGTTGCCGAAAATTCGATGGATTCATTTGGAAAATTAAGTCATTCAATAAAATCAATTGTTATCAATTACGAACGGATGAATCTAACGGTTATATTTTTCAAGAGAAAAAAAAAAGAAAGAAAAAGAAAAAGAAAAAAACATGATGATAAGAAATTTTGTCATTAAAAAAATTTGAATGAATTTTGAAAAATTAATTAATAATTTTGAAAGTTTAAAAGTGCTAATTTAAAAGCGACTTAACAAAAACACAGTTTACATTATATTAAAATTGTATTGTTCATAAGCATTAAAAAAGGTTTTAGGTAATAAATTTAATAAAAAAATTAGTCGAAATAGGAATTAGTTTCGAACTAATTTCAAGCCGTAAATTAGTTTATCTTTATAACTATAAAATTTACCAAACCATTCATTGTAACAAATTTAAACATTTAAACGCTTGAATTCAAGACGAAGAGTTTTACGTGTTACCCGTGTTATCATACCTTCGATTGCTAATTTCTCCACTTATCATTTCATCATTTGTTGTTAAATTATCAATAATTCAGATTATTTGATGTTGCCAACTTGGGCTATTTGAGAAAATTTTCCAAAATCATATCACATTAGTAGTGATAAAAAAATTTTTAAATTTTAATTTTAAACAAAACAAACACAAGAAACAAACATGGAGAAATTTTTTTCGCAATTTCATTTCAAATTCACTTATCGATCATTTATTCATTTATTTAGTGGCCAGAAATGTGTTATGATTCATGCACCAGAAACGATGATCCCATACAGCAAATTCTGGAAAGTGATCCGAAAACTGCACTTACTTATCCGGAAACAATTATTTCACTAAAGAATACCGGAAATTTAACGCGATTATTTCTCGGATTTACCATAGGTGGTAGGTGTTTCATTTTTGTTTGTTTCAATTTTTGGGAACAATATCTTTATGATAAATTACGCCTTATAATTTTGAAGCAATTTTAAATTAAGAATTTTTAATTCTGTCTAAAATTAAGAATTTTAAATTTTGTTTGAAAAAAATAGCAATCTTTGTTGCTAACTTTTTTATTTACAAATAAATTTGTTATTTATTTTGCACAGTCTGTGTAACATCAACTTTAACATTTTGAAACATATTAAAATAGAAATTTTAAGCCTTTAAATTTTTTTGTGCTGCGCTGTACATAGGTTTAATTTTTATTTTCATCTCATTTTTAAATTAATTATATAATTCGGCGAATTATGCATATACAGGTGTTGAAACAGATGCAGATGGTATTGTTACATATGCACGATCGTTGAGAACAAATTTTAAAATCAAAGAAAATTTTCGTTCAGAAATTTTGGATGAATTTTCTAAACAATTTGTCAAAAAGGTTATGAAATTATCTTAATCTTTGCTGCAACAACAATAATCATTTTTATTTGACTAAAATTAATCTATAGTATTATAAATTAATAAAATTCTTACGTAAAAAAAAAAAAATGAAAATAGAATGGTAACATTGATGTAGGGATAGCAAAAATTGATAGTTTGAAAACTGTAAGCAAATTATCGGCTTTAATTAATTAACATCTGATATCATTAGCAAGCTTTCAGAAAGAAAAAGACATAGCGTATTTTACGTTTTCCATCACAATTAATGTGTACTACCATTCATATACGCCATATTTTGACGTATTATATCATTCTTCAAGAAATAAAATAATAATTAAAATCATATGACCACCTGATGAATGCATTTCTTTTGAAGTAAACATGAAATAATAATTCGAGATCGTTATTTAATTTGACCTTTTAAAAATTTCGTAAATGCGAAAAAAAAAGAAAAACTATGAATGATTACAGGTGAATGACGAACGAAAAGAGATAGAAAAAAGCATGGATGTGGATGTTAATTGGTGGTCATATCGAGAATTTGTTGATGATGTAATTTCTGGATTGGAAACAATGCATTACTTGCTAATTGCATCTGCAGCATTTCTTATGTTTTCATGCTTAGCTGCAAGTTTTGGTGCAAATGGTTATCAGGTAATCATTTTTAAAAAAAAAAAACGAAAAATAATTAACAAATTTTTAAAAATAAAATTTAAAACAAATGAATTCAACAAACTGATTATAATTTGCCACAAAAAAATAAGCACCCACAAATTTAATCAGTGAACTGATTAAATTGATTGTAATTTGCTGCAAAAAATAAATAATCACAAATCTAATCAATTCACTGCTCAAACTGCTGATGAATTTGAAAAAAAAAATACACATTTACAAATTTAATAAGTCACTTGTTTTTTTAATTCCTCAAATATATTTTTAGTTTTGCGTGGAAATGCTTGAATTTAACTTATACTAGTAGATAAATATTTCTAATATAATCAATGCATTATTATTATTAAGTAAAAAGTTTTGATATGTTTTGTATAATTTAAGCACAGTTGTATAAAATTAATTCATCCTACAAAATAATCTTTTTTATCCATTTTTCATGTTTTTAAATCGAAGATTTTTTTTTTAATTCTTCATTCTTTATGTTTTTAAGTAAAAGATTTGAGGAATTTTTTTTTTTTTGGAGAAAAATTTATGAAATATTTTTATTGAATAAAATGATTAAAAGTTGCACCAGTTACATTGCAGAGTAAACCGGTTTTGGGATTAGTAATTGGCATTATTTTAATCGTTTCCTGTTTGGCCGGTTTTTTTGTTCAATTAACCGGAGTTGGATATGTCAATGCGATCGTCTTTCCAATCTTTTTCGTCCTTACCGGTGTGAATTTGAAAATTTTTTTCGAAATTCAAAATTGCATGCTTGCTACGATAGCATTTTTTTTTTCTTTTCAGCAAAATAACAATTAATAAAATTCTAATACGGGATAATTTAAAATATGTTTTATGAAGAAAAATATAATCATAAAGAAGAGATGTTTTTATTGAAATAAATATTCAATAACTAAACTAACTAAATCATTAAAAAAAAGGTTAGAAGATAAATTAAAGAAGAAAAATGATATGGGAACCAGAAAAAAAATTATCATATCATGTACGTTATTGTATTAATTATTGCATTCTTATATCATGAAAAGTATTATATCAATTATTATATCATATATGATAGATAAAATTGATACTGTGATTATGTTATTGATCAATTTTCACTATGCATCATTTAAATTACTAAAAAAAAAAATCTTCGATAATATATAGGAGAAAAAAAAAGAACTCATAAAAGTTTTCAGGTATTGGAATACTAATGCTTTTCACGTTAGAAAATACGTGGTCAAAATATTCCAATGTTGCATGTGATCCGATCGAGAAATTATCATT